GATGTAAAAAAAGTCAATAAATATCTCTTAATCAATATATCTGCTTTTCCTCAATGTACTTTTGTACCCAAAGGAAATTTAGATGCATCTGGAATCTTTGTTCCTTTAAATATAAAAAAATGGTGGACAACTATCCTTTGCTGCATTGACAGTGGCCAGGTATGTTGTTAGTGTGCTATATTCACCAATAGTTAACTTTTGTACTTCACGAGAGCCCTTTACACAAAAAAAAAAGCCCTTTACACAAAAAGCGGCCTTTCATCTGTACCACTTGGTACAGATGAAAGGCCGCTTTCATCACAATTATGAATCAAATTTTACATACTTATTATTTACTATATATACATTTTACCCTAAACATTATAATAAGCTTATTTACATGTATCTTTACATGTGTTTACATTAGAGTCGCATTTATAATTAAAACTTTAAAAAGTTTTAAAAACTAACTTTAAACTAATATATTCTGAAAAGTCTCTTATAGATAAAATCTGAAGCTTTAAAGTACAATTTTAGCACAACTTTATTTTCTTTCAAACGGCGCTCCATAGTTTAAAAGTTAGCGTGATTAAAGAACCTAATTTATGTTAAGTATTATCTTTTCTTTAACGACAAAGTTGCCCCTCATTTGAGCATGTGATAACAATCATTGCGTGAAGATTCCAAAAGAAAAAACATAGCAACTTAAATTGTTATTTTAAAAATATCGACATTGATTTATCCAAAAAAAAAATATTTTGTGGTATATATTTTTTTTGACGATAAGCATTTAATCAGAAAAATATTTTTTCAACTTCAATATTTAAAAAATAATCAAAGGAAAATATATAAAACACTTATTTAATAATATTCGACAAATATCAGTTAAAAAAGTTTCAAAAAAACTTAGTAAATAGTTTTTATGCATTAATATGTTAAAGCTGAGTCGCATAAGTGACAAATTCGCTCCGTGACAAATTCACCCCGCCTTAGTATTTGCAGTGTATATTTTATATATTTTATATTTACTTGTTATGTTTTATTTATTATATTTAATTTATGTTTGATATTTTATTTTTTATATTTTATATTTTTTATAAAACTATTTAATGAATTATCTGAAGTGCCACAGAAGAAATATGTAATATTGCATAAATCAAACAATTAAAAGGAAAAAATGAATGGTAAAATACTATATTTTATTGCAGAACAATGAGTAGATGAATATACTCAGTACTGGGTAAAATACTTTATAAAAGTTCTTAAAATACAAATACAAATACGGGAACAAAATAGTATTTTAAATAAAAATATAAATCAAGTTTAAATACTTCAAAAGTATTTAAACTAAAAATTCTTTTAAAAAAGTATTTTATATACTAAATACAAAATACTTTACTACTTTTAAAACTTGCAACGAAAAAATACGCCATTTTAAAAAATTTATTTTTACGAACTCTTATTGCTCAAAAGTAGTTATTAGTCATTTATACTACATTTATATTTAAATATCATTCATTCAGTCATTCACATTTGTTTTTAGAAGCAGCAGTCGTTCAAACATTATACCACTTAGACAATTATGCCTAGGTGTTTGTATTTGTCCCCCAGTGCTAACTAGTCGTTCAACTGGAGCCGACGGTGGTACAGTGGTATTGAATTTGACAAATAGTGACCGAATCGTCTTTTTTTTTTTTTTAATTTTAATTCACCTCCTCAAGGCCGAAAAGGCCACTACAGACGAGGAGGCTACTTATTTTGTGGCTATAACCCTCTCTCAACTCTATAACTCCGAAACACGAACCTTGATGAACAAGGCCGCTGCGCAGAGAAACGATTTGAGCACGGTACTACCAGGGACGTGGTGGGGATCGAACTCGAAACCACTCGTTTATGAAGCGAGCACTCTACCACTACCGCATGAAGTCTTATACTTATTCAGTGCATTCAAAATTGTATCTTTATCATTCGGATACAACATGCATTCTTGCTGAATGTCATCATTATGTACAACAAAATTTCAGTTGTGCTGTCAGTGTTCACATTGAAATTGGTCGTTATCAATGGTTCACAGGCAGCTAGTATTGCATTTTCAAATATTGTTCTGCAGATAGCTTGTTTAAACTGCTGCAACAATCCTGTATAATTACTCACATCAAATCTCAGCTTCTTTTCAAAACGAATTTTCATACTTGCTAACAATGCTGCAGCAAGTAATTTACCATATTTTAACTGGCAACTTTGAGATGCTTCCAATTTCACCTGTAAGCTATTCAAATGTGAAACACAAGGCCATAATACACATTATTCCTTTGCAAACTATCCGATGTTGTAGCAACAGGTTTCATGACCAAGGCATATTCTTGCAGACATTTTAATTCTTGCTTTTTAAACTTTGCCGCATTCAAAGCATTACATATATCATTAAGTTTGTCACATAATTCTAGTAATCGCTTGATAGCGATCCAACATTTTGCCACAGTGCAGAGTATTGCTTTGTTTGTAATATTTGACACAGCATTTAATGCTTTACTGATTCGTCAAATTGCATTCCATATTGAAGTGCATTTTGCCAGTCTTGCACTGTAGGTAGGCTTAAATATACTGTCTGTATCACATGCCTTCTTAGCATCATTGGTTGCCAATAGATTCAGTGAATTTTTTAAACATCTTCGCTTCCAACAAGGCTGCAATGATTTTAATATGTGTAATAACTATATGATTATTGATTAACTATTTTTTTACTTGTGGTTTTTTTTAATTTTTTGAAAAACCAATAAGGTTTTTTTTTTTTTTTTGAAGAAATTATACTCGCTATGCAATATAGTTGCACTGGTTTAAGAACCCACTTAAAAAGTAATAATAATATAATTACAAGATATAATAAAGTCTATTTAAAATTCATACTAAAGAAAAATAGGAAATAAAGAAAGAATAAGTTGCAAGTGTCATTTGGACAATATATATACATTTTTTATCTAAAATTTAACTTTAAAGTTATAAATTTTGTATCAAAATATTAACTATTGATAAGTAAAATGAAAATAATTTAGGCAGCTTTGATGCAGTCATGGCTGCTTAAATTATTTTGCCAAAAACCTACAAAATTTTGCCATTTTATAAAATGGTTGTGGCCCTTGTTTCTGTTCTTCATACAATAAAAAAAGCTGAAAATATGTGCTTTTACTTTTTTATTTTTTATTTTGAATCAAATAATCTAATAAAACAACTTAAAACATTTCAAAATAAATTTGCTGTCAAAAACTAATGACATAAGTTGTTAAAAGAACATGTCAAATCATAGTTCTACACGTTCTTGTAACAATTTTATTGTTGTTGTCTCTTCATATAAACACATATAAATGTTAAGATTAACAGCCAGAGCAAGTTTACAAAGACAAAACCAAGTATTGATAACAAATGGTATGTTTGAGTTTTGTATTGACAATATAAACACAATCACATGTTATAAAATAAGACAGGTAAGTATTAGATTAATGCTCATTTAGTAAATATATACAAAAATATTAAGATATTCATATTAACTTATATTCATATTAAATTAATTCATGTTAAAAAATGCATATTAGCTGAATATACACAAAAAGGTGAATTTATACAAAAATTTAATTTTTTAAAGAACTTCAGAAAAATCTATCAAAAAAAAAAATTTGTTTTGAATTGCTGTTGTTCCAAGCTAAATTAAAAAAAAAAAAATCACAAAAAAAAAAAAATGTTTTGGTGAGTAACGTTGGTGATAAAACAGATAATTACAAATAGGAAACAACAACAATAAGATTATAACTACTAAAAAAAATAATTTTATATTGACAAAACTGTTCCAGGAGCCAGAAATAACCACCATTACACAGGAATTATCCTTTTCAGGATATTTCCGGAATTCCAGATATTTTTTTCAAATTATAGTTTTTCTGGATATCCAAATATATTGTATGCATATAAGTTTAGGCATAAGTTTTTGTAATATTATTTTTGTTTTTTTTGTTTTTTAAGCTTTTTTACTCATCACTCATAGAAAAATTAAGTTTGAAAAAAAAAATTAGAAACAATTCCACTAAAATCAAAATTAGGAGGAATATAAGGGAAAATATTTTCCGGATATTTTACCCAAACAAATTTCCGGATTTTTTAAATATGACCTGGATGATCTATGATTACATACCTAATTCATATTTTGAAATTAGTTCTTTTGAGTTCTTACTCTCTAGATGATTTACTCGGTTAATGACCAAAAGTTTTTTTTTTGTATATTAAACAGGAGTAGAAAAAAAAGGATCATAGTGTCATGGCATCTTAAAGACCTTTCTTTAATCTTAAAGAAAGGTAATTAATGACATATAGTATGCATTCAAATGCCTGTAATGTATGTTGTATTATGTTGTATTAAGTAAATTTAACTGAAAATCTGCAAAAGAGCAGTTTGAAATAAATTTGAAATAATAATAAACTGAAAAGCTGTAAAAAAAACAACAGTGTGACATAAAAGTTTAAGTAAAAATAAAAAAACACTGTGACAAATTTTTAAAATTTATACACCTTTGTGGATTTTTTAATTATTTTTTGTTCGTTAAAAAGTTCATTAAATTATTGCTTTTATTTGACAAGAAAATAAATTAATTTCTGTACCTTCTTGATAAAATAAAAAAAATTTAAATAAGAAATAATATAGTTTAGGTTTACTGGAGTCAGTAGCCATTGTTAAGCTTTTTTTGAGTGCAAAACAAAATTTTTCTAATGCTCATTACTAATTATTATCTAATTAGACATGTAATGGTAATAAACACTCTAACCTTTAGATGTGTGTTCTAAGTAGAATTATATTGTAAATATGGACATAAAAAAATACTTATAAACATTATAAGTATTTTTTTTTTTAATTATAAAGATTATTTTTCTTTTTACTCCAATATTTATTTTAAAGTAAATTCAAGTGTGTGAGTACTGTTTTTATCTATAAATAAATATTATTGTATAGCATAACTATTAATTTAATCTTTCAGACAAAAAGAAAAAGAGAACTGCTTGCTTTAAAAAATGCCCAAAATCTTGTTCAGGTAAGATTTTGATTAGATTTTTTGTGTTGAAAGTTTGTTGTTTTTTTTTCTTAAATTTGGGAAAATTAATTAAGCAAAAAACATTTTAAAAAATTATTTTAAAAATACTTAATGAAATTTAAAAATAATAAAGTTACTTTTCAAAATATTGCTAAAGAAACTTTGAAAAATTATTATTTTTAAATATTTTGAAAAAAGTTAAATAAATATTAAATAACTAATTACTTGTGTCTTCTCGTCATTCTCTTGAAATCGAGTCCTCCTTGTATCCTCTTGAAGGTTGTTTGTATGTTCTTGAAAATAAATCTACATATCCTTTTGAAATTGAATCCTTATCTCCTCTTGTAAATTTAGTTTGACAATTGATGGCAATATTTATTGTTTTGTATTCTTTTTACAAAACAAAACAAAATATAATTCATTTCATACCTTTCCATACATTGTAAGGAAACTAGAGAAATCCTATTTAAGCAAAAATATATAAAATATATTTTTAATTATATAAATAAAATTATTCAACATATTTGTCATGTTGGTTGTTTTTTTTTTTTTTTGCCCTATATTTTATACATTATCGTCAAGATTAATTTTTCATATTTTGTACAAGTCGACTACTAAATTTATGCTTTCTTGCACTTCAGAATTAAGGGGTGTGAACATTGTGATATTTTTTGGAGAGATCAATACAAGACAGTAAATGACCAAGACCAATACTTCAGGTTAACTGTCAGGTCAAGACCAAGACAGTTGAATATGAGTCTCAAGACCTCACAAGACCAAGACTTTAATCTCGAGACCTTCATCTCTGCTTTAAAATAACATAACTTAGTGTTCTAACCAAAGTTTCATAAAAGTATACTGATTAACAATTTTGTATTGAAAAATTATCCTTGCTTTGACAACTGAAAAATGTGTTTTTTTTCGAAAAGTTTATTTACTGGTTACCTCAAAATTTGTAAATTTATACTTCTTAAAAAACAAAGTGGCAAAATGTCACAATTGCAAACATTAGTTAATAATTTTGCAATAAATTTCAAGTTAGTATACTAATAAATATTTGATTTAATTATATTTGATGTTTTTTCTTTGTTTTTTTTTTATGATTTGAGGTCTGAAGGACAATCATATTTAAAAAAGTATACTTAAATTAATGATATAAAGTTAATTTAGTTAACTTGCAAAAAAAAAAATTTTTAATAATTTTGATCCAATATTTTTGTTCATTATGTTATGTGGTTTAAACTGCTACGTATGATACGTTTCTTTAAAACAGTGCTTCTAAACCATGTCAATGATTTGTTAGTAAATGTTTGTTACAAATTTTGCTGTTTAAATGTAACAATTAATTTAAACATGAATTTTTAGAATGGTTTTTTCAGTTTTGAGTTACAACTTTAAGAGTTTTGAGTTACAACTTTTAAATTTTTCCTTAAAAAAAATTTGTTCATTTACTGACAAAAAGTTTGTTCATAAATAATGTACATACTTAATGTATTATTTCAATTTTACTTTAAATAAATGTTTTATTAATCTTAAAAACATATATATTTAAAGATTGTAAAGTTCCAAATTTAACCACATAAGCTATAGTTCATACATTTAATTTATAGTTATTTCAAGAAGTCATTTATTTGTTGCTGGTAATTATTTGTTTTATTTATTTGTTGTCATCTTTAATAGTTCTTAAGAGTGACATTTTTCAGGTGAATTTTAACAAAGGATACTTAAAAATTAAATTAAAAATTTAAAAAATTAAAATTAAAAAATTAAAAATTAAAAAATTAAAAAATTAAAATTTTTTTGTTTTTTAGTTTTGATGATACTTTTGATTTGTTGTTGTTGTTTTCCATGCAACTGTTTTTTAGCTCAAACTGATGTTTAAATTTTGTTAGATATTAAAAATTAAGATTTTTCTTTAAGTTTTAACAAAATTTTTATTTTTTATTTTATTTTACCATTACTTAAATTAATTTATTTTTTAACCACTTGATTGAAATTCTTATACATTTTCTTCATTTATTTATATGTTTAAAATTTCTAAACTAATCAAAGTTTCAAACTTTTACTCATCATTACTATTTAAAGTAATATAGAAAGATCATAGTAGACATTTTTTAGCAATAAAGAAAGATCACAGTAGATATTTTTAATCAGTAAAAAAACGAAATTAAAAAGAATTTGTGACAATAACTTACAAATAATTGAGTTTTTGTGTGCTTCAAAAAGTATGATCAAAATTGTATAGGTTTTTATTTTGTGATTGTTGTTAATTTGATGGCATTTATTATACTTTGGTGAGAAAAAAGTGTTCTTATAAATTTTGTATTTAAAAATTATCTATGCTTTGATTGCTCGTGTGTATGGTTTTTAAAATATATATTGAACTTTTTTTTTATTTCTAATGCTTTTAAAATAAAAGAATATTTGTAAAACTTAGGAATTTCTTTAACTATGTTCTTTTAAAAAATCTTTTCAGTAGGCTTTTTTTCTAAATTAACTAAACATTTTCTTATATTCTTTATCGTAACTAGTGTATTTACTATGAATACTCCATTGTAGTCATTTTTGAAATAATTTGATAAAATAGTCAAGATTGAGCTAGTAATGGTAAGCCTGGTTCTGTTAAAAAGAAAAGCTTTCGAAGTGACAAAAGATTAAATTTAGTGTCCGTTTAGCCTCAAATATTATACATAGGTTAAAATTAGATTTTGCAATAGGTTATGCAGTCCATGAATTTAGAAGATTGCATAAATAAATATTTTGTAAGTTTTAATGAATCAAAAAATGGCTTAATGAACAGCTGATTCATATTCTTGCCAAATCTAGCTTTCATAGACATGCTATTTTTAATAAATATATGATTGTCAAAATGAGAGGAACTTAGCAATATACTTTAAGACATGTTGAGGTTTATTTGTAATATATTTGAAGCTAGACATGTTGATGTTTATTTGAGAATAATTGAAGATTTAGTTTACAAGTATAATATAAGTTTTGTAAATTTAATCATCCGCAAAGGCGAGATCAGCTATTGTGAGGTTCTATAGGGAACAAAACTAGAAAATGATTCAATCATAATTAAAAGAACAAATTTCAGCAAGAAGAAAATGTTTTTTTTATTTGTTTTCTATAAGTTTGATACACACTTAAAAATAAATAGATTACTAATACTATATCACCATACTAATAATTAAAAAAATATAGTTTTTTTTTTTTTTTTTAATATATTAAAGATTTTTTTTTTTTTTTTGCTATAAATGATTGTATATTATAATGAAATATTTCCAAAAATTAAGGAACTAGACGAAGAAAGAACAAGAGAAGAAAAAAAGAAAGAAAAAATTGCAGCAAAAAGAAGAGACAAACGCAACAAGCGTAAAAAAAATCGAGAAATAGAAGATCAGGTACCAAAAGTCAATGGATTGATTAACCATGATGATGATGATGAAAATGATGATGAAGAAATCAAAGGTCAGCTATTTTAAAATTTTAAACATAAATGATTCAAATAGTCTGTTTTTACTACACTTATCTCCATAATAAATGAGGAGGTAGGTTTTTTTATTATTGAGATAGAGGTATTATTACCTCTACATAACAGTTTAAAATAAACAAGATTTAAGGAAAAAAAAATTTTTTTTGTTATAGACAACATTATGCCAACTGAAAATCGTTTTAATTCACCTGAGGAAGATTTTTCAAGCGTTTCAACTGTTCAGAAAACTTCTGAAGTATCAATTTCTACTTTAAAAGTTGAAATGAAAACATCACGTAAAAAGAGTAGACGAAAATCGACATTAAAAAAAGCTGTTCTTCCGTGTTTGTTGAACCATGAAGCAAAAGTTGAAAACTATGAAAAATTATCTGAAAATTCAGAATCGTCTAAAACGCCACTTTGTTCATCTTCTGTTATTGATGTTCATGTATTAGCTAATCAACTGTCAGAAGATGCACGGATAATGTCAGAGACATTAACTGTTCAAAAATGTAGTTTAGATATTAATCGACAGCGTCCCAAAACTTCTGGAGTTTGCACGCAAAGTACATCTACACTTGGTCCAAGTCGTTCTGCTGTTTCATGTCAGACTGAAAAAAAGAGTGTAACTACTGCTATTGGAACACCATCAAAATTACTATCGCATTTTCCTATTGTTTCTAGTGTAGCTATGTCAACATGCACACAAAGTATCACTACACAATCAGATCCTCGTACACATGTCTACAACATAACGCCCTTTCCTAAACTTGAGTCTTGGGATTCAGAGTCTATTGAGCATAGCAATGAAAAGGAATACAAATCTCGATCTGGTATGTTATTTAGCCTGTGCATTTCTTGAAACGCGATATAATCTATAAACAATAATATACTGTGTTTTGGTAAATAATTATTTTCTCTGTATTGTTCGAATTCAATTGTTTACTCTGTAAATTCAGGTTCTGATTCAGCTTCACTTTCACGGAACAATTCCTTTGATGAATACAGAGAGTCAGATTGGAGAGAGGTTTCTCGAACTCATAAGTAGGTATTTTACATATATAACATGTATATGTAAATTGTGTTAGGGGGTGTCCATAAATGATGTCAGTGATTTTTCTCGATTTTTGGAACCCCTCCCCTCTTTGTTAAACTATCAATTTTTGGCCAACCCCCTGTATATATGATGTCAGTTTTTGTATCCCCCATCCCCCTAAATTTACAATAAAAATATGTGTAAACAACATTGATTTTTTATGGTTAAGTTATAGTAGTAGATCTTAGCAAATTACATTATAGAACAGATATCTCATCAAATAATAAACAAACTAATTAAACTAAGCAAATTTTATTATATATTTATAATATAAATTCACTCACTCATCATCTTTCAACAAGTTGTTGAAGTGATCTTCGATTGAAACAATAGGTAGTGAATGCTCTCTGTGAACTAAAAGGTTATCGTCTTCTTGAGGTATAATAAGATCCGTTGCGTCAACTTTATATTCATCTAACTATCCAGCAGTTTCTGAATTCTTCTGCAGGGCATTAACTGTCATAAATTTTGTCTGACGCTTGACAGCGATGCGAACTTGCCAGACCTTTTTGATAGGAGGGAGTGTTAAAGCGGAAGAATGAATATAAACATGCTCTTTCAGCTTAGCTTGAGAAGCAAAGTAGATATTAAACTTTTTACAGATTCTATCAGCTAGGCTAGACTGAATTGATGGAAAAAACACATCAAACAAAAGAATTATAAATTCTTTGGCAGGTAGAGGAAGAATACTTTCAATGTTAGATGCATTTACATAAACTGGGATGATAGAAACACCTCTTTAGCTCCTTCTGAGATATTTACTGCTTTGAGTCCATTTCTTGTCTGGCTGACCAGGTCAGGTGGAAGAAGATATTGTGTTCTAATAGGGTAAAGTAAGAGCTTCTTATAGTCTGACAACAAGAACAATTTAAGTAAAATATTGACTTATATGAATGTGATGACAATCCAACATTGATCTTGTAATAAAGGGTTAGCTCTGATTGCTCAGGATATATTATAATATAAATTAAATATAATATTATAATATATCCTGGTAATATATATCTCTGGTAATATTATAATATACTCTGCAACTGGTGGAAAACTGTCAACTTTTAGGTCAGACCAAATATTTGCTAAAGCCTGTCCGGCAAAACCAAAGTTCTTTTTTTCTGAATCGTTATATATTGTCCTACCTGATTTAAAAAGATATATTGTTTATTATAGGTTAAAAATTATTTTTTATATTACAAATGAACTTTAGTCAATTATTATTTGTAATTATCTTGAGAATCAAGATGAGTTCTGTAATGCTCCTGTGGAAGAATCGCCTCAGATAATTCTCTACTTAGAGGTGCCATTCGTCTCTAAGCTCTGTTGAATGCACTGCATCCAAGAACATTTGTCATGATGAAAAGAGCATGGATGTTATTCTTTAAGAAATGGTGAATTCTTATTTCAATTACTTTCTGGTATCTGGGATTTTCGTTGGCTCCACCACTGACACTGAACACAATGATAGGCCTAACCATATTAGTTTGAAAATATCTGGTAATAGAATCGAATTCTTTGATATCCAAGAGTTGCTGAAATTCTAATGCATGCAAAAGTGGTTAAAGGTGTGTGTTTTCCTGATTAAACAGATATGTAGATAGGTCCAGAATAAGTAACAGCATCTGTTCTGAGACCATCTCTTTTGATAGTAATTCCAGCGTATACAGATGGTATAAGCTTGTGTTAAGCAGCCACAACCCAATCATGGTCCGGGAGAGTTACCCGGTACTTCAAATGCATCATAAGTAGCACCTGTTTTTGGTTGCTGTGATTCCAATCAGTACTCTGGTCTTGTCATCTTAGGTAATGAAACACACTTCATCTGGTTTCAAAGTACAACAAATTTCTTGAGCATAATTTATAGTTGAACTGCAGAAGAGTCCATTAACATATTTTAGATGAATTTCATTCTGAGCTCTGATCAATCTAACTGAGACTGTTTTGATGTGTCTTTTGCCTTCTGTTGTTCCATAACTTCTCGAAAGTAAACCAGTATATAGGGCGCTCTTGCTGATTACAAATCCAATTTTGATCATCTCAAATATCAACTTGTCAAGTGTTTTAATGCTCTAAATAATAAAGGAATATATTTGGATATAATGAACTACTTAACAGAAAATGTGATTTTTTTTATAAATTATATTACCTGGAGAACCTCTGATCAACGTCTTTCATCAGTGGGCAAACCATGGACAGCAATGTTAATAATCGCCTTCAAAAGAAGAGGTTGATCTACTTCTAATGACTGTTGACCAGGTTTCTTTCTGACTTTCAGTTTCTCTTTGATTTCTTTGCATTTCTTATATGCAATAATGACTTTATGTGTTTGCATTGCATCACGTTTTACTATCTGCTATAGAGCAATTTGAGTTTCGTATTTGAAATGATGACAATTGCATTTAAAATACTGACAAATGACTTAATGTGTTTGCTTTGAAGCACATTTTATGATTTGCTAGGGAGCAAATAATGATTGTTAATATTTTATACAAATATTTTATATTTGTAAATAATTAGATTTGCAGTTAAACGGTAATACATTAATAAAACATTGGTAAATTTTTAATTTATTTAATGTCTCTGGAAATCTTATATTAATTCCCAACAAAGCAAATATACCATTTCTATACCACATTGTAGATGTAAATACTTTTAAAATCTGCTCATATAAACTTAAATATATTTTTTTTCGAATTGACATCATTTTGGTCTCAATTCCCTCTCACCATTGTCAATTATTGTCAAACTTTTCAGTACCCCCTGATTATCAGGATTTTACAAATATAAAAAAGTGAGCTCATTTTTATGGCTAATGGTATGTATGTATGTATGTATATATATATATATATATATATATATATATATATATATATATATATATATATATATATATATATATATATATATATATATATATATATATATATATATATATATATATATATATATATATTAGATTTTTATGTAATGTGTCACTGGTACATTTTTTTGTTACTATAATTTTCTTGAGTATTTTGTTTAAATATTGTTAAAAATATAATTGTATAGTTAAAATGTTTGTTTAATTTTATAAATAGGTTTGTTTTTTAAAAAAGGAAGTAAACTCTATTTTACACCAATAATATTTGTTTTTGCAAAATTTTACAACAATAATATTTGTTTTTGCAAAATTTTAACAATAATGTATCACATCAATTACAACAAGATTACATTAATGTTTTATGTTTTGATGTCAGTTGTTACATATTCTATCTGTTTCAAAAGTTTACTTTTGTTTATTTAGGTTACTCATATATGATCTTACTGTTCCTAATGGTTACTGTGGCAGGGTGATTGGAAAAGGCGGAAAGAAAATAAATCTAATTACAGTAAGTAATTAATGTATAAACAAAGGGTCCAAGTGTTCAACTATGTCAAAGAAACATCATCAGAACAAATATTGTCACATAAGTTATGCTATTTGTCACTCAATAGACTTGACTGCAGCATAACATTAAATATCTTTGTTTACACAAACATGCACCCTGTTTGTTTTTTTCTTTTTTTTTTTTTTTTTTTTTTTTTAAAGATTAAGTTTTCCTTTGATTTTTAAAATAAAAATTGTTTTTGCAAAATATTTTAAAAGTCTTTGAATAGCTTCGTGATGAGAAAAAAATCATTATGGAAATATTCTTGATACTTTTTTTTTTGCTTTGTTACTTTCTTTAGTTTTGCTCTTTATTATTATTCAAATATATTATTCAATTATTGGTTTGTTTAGTTTATATTAATTTTATTGATTCTATATTTAGGAAGAGTCTGGTGCACAAATTACTATAGACAAACCTACTGTTAATAATGTGCCGGCTGATCGAATTATAACAATTAAAGGAAACCATACTAGCTCTGACAAAGCAAGATATTTAGTTACTAGGGCACTCAATACACCTAGCCTAGCAGCAAGGGGTGTAGTCATGTATGATTCTACCTACTCAAAGAAAACAGATATCAAGCCTACACCATCCATGATATTATCTAGAGAACCAGTAAAGGAAAAAAAAATTAAAGAGGCAAGACCTAGATTGTCAAGCTCTGAAAGACCAACATCTGTTTCTGATACCTCTACAGCATCTCTTACTTGCTTTGCAAAAGTTTCTGCTTCTGGACCTACATATAGTAAAGTTGCTACAAAAACCATTTATTCTGAAATAAAAGACACTTCGGAAACCCAAACATCGGTAAAACTTTATAAAAAATTATTTTTAAAATTTCCTAGTTTACCCTAGTTTAGATAGATGTTTGTGTATATACACACAAATGATTTTAAATGTACTTTATAAAATAAGTGCTCAATGTTCTTCAAAGATTAGATGATGCTTCAAAAGACTCTTAAGAAGTGTATTCCCTCACAGATCCCTAAATCAGTATGACATCAGATTGCTAATCTAAATGTGTTTTCTACACACACACGCACACACACACACACACACACACACACACACACACATTTAATCAGCTTTATTGTGCTGAAATAGGTAGTTACTGGGACCTCAATATAAATACCTCCATATATAGAGAAAACACTATAAAACTATGAAGGTTTAAGGTTTTCAACTACCATGTTTATTTCACATACTGGGTGTATGAGTCCCCAAATATTAAATGGGTTTTAGTGAATTTTTTGAATGTTTTGATTTTTTTTTATCTTTAATAAAACAAATATGTATATATGTGTATATATATATATATATATATATATATATATATATATATATATATATTGTGTGTGTGTGTGTGTGTGTGCCTTGAATTTTTGTAGACTGTAAATTCGGTTGTTAACGGAAACCTAAATTCACACCAAGAATGTTCACAATCATCTAAAGGTATTTAATATAATTAGTTATAAATTTATTATATGATTTACCATTGTTTGCAATTTTGTATTCAAAATGTATTATGTTTGGTAGTCAATTATTGCAACTGTTTGCAATAATTGTGAATGATTGCAATTTTTAGAGCTCGAACCAACAAGAAAATCTTCTAACTTTGCTTCAATGGAGTTTTCGTATTTTTCGCAAGGTTTTTTTTCTATTGTTTTTAAATAAGATATTAATTGTGTATATAGTTACATGTACATATAATTTTTATATTTCTTATATAGTGAACAAAGTAAATGAAAATAGTGAAACTGACCAAAAGGTATCATTGAGTTTAATATTTGTTTATTGTTAAATTAAACTGTGCTTGACTTGTATTACCATATCAATGAAAATTGATACGAAATGGACAAAATAGTTATAATAACTTCACTCCAGATTTAGCAAATATAAAAGAACTTTTGACATTTAAAAAAAAATCATTCTAGGCAGTTATATGTAGCTCTTTAATATTTCTCGACAAATATATAAACCCATATAACCCACATTTCTGAACAGATCTTTTTCAATGCTTCATAGTAAAAAAAAATTTTGTAATTATTTTATTTATTTTGTAATTTTTTTCCTTAAAGTTTTGCCATGGAAAACTGTGCCATAGTTTAAAAGTGCCGAGGCAAAAATATTTTACACGCTGAAATAGTGTCATCTGAAAAGCTTAACAAAGATTGTTTACTAAAAGTCTCTAAAACTTAACTATAGAAATAAAAAAACAATATTTAGCAATCTGAAAATAGTGAACTTTGTGAAAGTTGTGGCCTCTCTCTCTCTCTTTATATATATATATATATATATATATATATATATATATATATATATATATATATATATATATATATATATATATATATATATATATATATATATATATATATATGTTATGTATGTTTTAGTTTTTATGAAGTAGTAATTATAAATTTATGTTTTTTCATAGATACCCCAAAGTGTTTCTACATTTAGCGATTCCAAACTAAGGTTATAATTTGTTTTATTTTATTTTATTTTTTTTTTCATTTATTCTGTGACTTTATATAATAGTTTTTATTGATTTTTTTATACTGAGATTTTGTTTTAGCTTTGGATCTACATGGCATTCAACTGCTGCTAAAAGTGAGGAAGACAATCGGATGCGAAGCATCACTTGGAATGGAAAGGTGTAAAATGTGTCTACTATTTTATAATTAAATTTTTACAAAATAAATTAAAATCATTAGATCAGGTCAGATGGCAATTGCCAATGCTACTTTTTTTTATTATTTCAGTTTAATTAAAAACAGGTAGCAGAATTGTATAAAAATTTTTAAAACTTTTTTAAAATGTTATAATGTCTCAAAATAATATTTTAAAAAAGATAAAAAAAATTAATTTTTTTTTTTTTTTAATTCTAAAGTTTTCTAGGAAAAAAACTAGATGAATAAGAATTTTTGGAGCACTTAGGAATAGTCACATTAAAAGGATGAGATTTAATTGAATGGCGAGTAACACTAGAATAAATTTTAGTAGATAGTACAAGAGACGCTAGCTCCTTTCAGCAGTGCCCATTATAGTATTTATAGGAAAGCGAAGAGAAGGCAGCATTATGATGGTGTGATAATGGTTAAATGTTGGCTGCAAGAGCAGGTCCAACTATGTTTACAATGCATTTTTGCACCTTGTCTAAAAGAGAAAGGGCATTATTGGAAAATTTATCCCAGATGTGGCAACATTACTCCATACAAGGACATATAAAGTGATGCAAGCTTTGCAGATACTAATTTTGCAATGGATTTGATATATGATTTTCCAAGAAAGATTGGAAGTAAAGGTTAATCCTAGATGATGAAGGGTAGTTGACTTGTCAAGTACATTACTGTTCATAAATATAGGAAGATCTTGATTATTGCAATAACAATTAGCTGAAAAAAATTGAGTTTTATGTGAGTTAAAGTTCACCAGCCACTGAGAGCCCCATGCTGAAGCAGAGGTGGGATTCTTTTCTAGCTCAAATGTATAAGTAAGAAATGTATAATAAGTCAGATTGCTGTCCAGGTTTTTTGAAAATAGGGATAAAAGATGCCGTTTTCCAGCAGGCTAGAAAAAAGACTCTGATAAGCACTTGTTAAATAGTTTTGAAAGTATAAACAAGAACACTTCTGCAAGACTATGTTGTCCAGACCACAAGCTGTAGAAGAGTCTAAACAGGAAATCACTTTAGGTGCAGAAGCTGGAGTAATTTGAATGTCAAGCAATGGATTAATCTGTTTGTTGTATCAGGTAGAATGTGATTAGTGGAATGAAGAGATGAGATTGATGATAAGTTCTTAGCAAACAATTCAACCTTGTCTTTAGGTGAGATGACAAAATCTTAACTATACAAGAGAGGTGGAATAACAGATTTGCTTTTGTTATAGACACTGTTAAAGATTCTCCAGAAGTCATGAGAGCCTTATTTTTGAGATGAAATACAAGATGTTGTGACCTGAGAATAGTGGGTTTTGGTGTTAGACAAAACCTTTTTAAAATGGTTTCTATCAGTTGCTAACAGATGTCTATTTTCTGGAGAACTGTTTTGCTGATAAATATGAAAGTAATGGTTACAATTGGAAATTGCAACTGCACAATGAGAGGAAAACCATGGAAAAGAGTGAGGCTGGAGTTTGTAAAGGAATTGTCGATTCCATGCCAGTCTGAATCCAAAAACTCTTGTAAGACTCACATTTGTCTGCAGGAAGACGAAAGATTTCTACCCTAGAGTAAAATCTAAGAGAAAGGCAATCGAGTGAAGTGGTGCTAAATGAAAGCCAGCAGTTAAACAATGAGATGATAAAAAAATTTAAAAAATTAACAATTTTAACAATTTTCATTATTTTTTAACAAATGAAACATAAAAGAAGCACATAAAAGAATAGTCTCTAGATTCAAACCTTTTCTGACAAATGGGTTTTTACGAATTTAAATGCCCAGGCCAAGCATGTGACTATTGGATTCTTTACGAATTAAAGAAAGATAACCATCAACACTAAGATCACAAGGTGAGACAGCTGAACTCAAATTCTCACGTCTCAATTCCCACATCTCAAATTCTTACATCACAACTCAAGTCTTACAAAGAGCAAGTAAGTCTGGTGAACTTTACAAGAGATAAGACTCAACAGAAGAAAAATTACTTCATAGACCACGAATGTTAGTGAATGATAGATTTAGAGAACTTGGTGATGACAATGGTTTTTTGTGTTTTATAGTTTAAAATAATATTATAGATTTTACTGCATAAAAATGACAGTTTTGAAATTTTATAAAAAAATACTTTTTTCATTTTTACTGAAAATGAAAAAAATGTTTATTTATTAGATTTTTTTTTTGAAAGTAACATTTTTTTTTTTTGTATCTTTTTGTATTTCTATCTATATGTAGATATCTATAGATATATGATCTATGTGAAAAACCAGCAATATTTTATTTTTAAAATATTCAATTTAGAAGTTTTGAAACTGTTGAAAAAAAAAATTTTATTCAAAAGCATTCATCTTTCTTATCATTTACAAAAATCAGGTTGGTTTATAAACTTTTCAATTATATTAAGATCTTTAAGTTTTATCTCATTATATAAATTAAAAGGGTTTTCTAATAATGCTAGTTTTCTTTTACTTCTACATTTCTACTAATGGGCATGTTTAAAGATCCGCTGTAACAGGAGTCCAGCTATGTACAAGAATTTATGAAATTAACTTTTTTTTTGGTTCAAATACATTGAAAAATGTTGATTTCTTGCAAATATCTTTGAAAATTTTTAACCAAATTTGAAGGTACATTAATTTGAGCTTTGCAGTTAATGAAATCGATTTCATTAACTGCATTACACTCTGTGTTGGAATGACCTGTTGACCTCTAATGCTGTATCATATAATGCAGAAACCTAAAGACTGTATAATTTATATTTTGATCTATACATCACATGACACTTCATTTGTTTGAAGAATCAAATCAAAAGAAATGTTTAAGCATTTTATTTATATGATTTATAACAAATTTTTACATTTGTTTGAAGAATCATAAACATTTTACTTATATTCAGTTCTTTAATTAAATAAGTGTCTAGTTTTTTTTTGTTTGTTTTTTTGAGAATCTAAGATCGCTTTCTTACTCTTCTTTCTCTTTCTTCGCTTGCTATTGAAATGATTTTAGTAATTAACTTTTGTTTTCTTCATTTATAACCCTTCAAGTCATTCAAATCTGATGCAGTTTCAGTCTACCCTATTTTACAAGCAGGTTTCGTTTTTTTTTCAGAATTTATGATGACATTTAACTTCATTTTTTAATTTAGAAGCTTCGACAATTTTATTTATTTAAATGTTATTTATAATAAATAATATATTTGATAGTAGTCTTTTTCCTCCTACTCAAGTTTTTTTTCAGACCATTAATAAACAGGTTCATCACAATCATCATGCCATCTTAATCAAGTTATTTTAACTTGTCGAAGGAACTTATTCATTGCCAAAATCATGTGGCCATGTATATTTTAAGACTATGTGGACATATTATTATTATTATTATTATTATTATTATTATTATTATTATTATTATTATTAATATTATTATTTAATACCAAACAGTATTTATGTCATATTTTCCATTGTACTTTTGTATATAAGTAACATATATATGGCAACTGATATAAGTAACATATATGTTATATTTATTTATATTTATATATATATTTCCATTGTACTTTTGTATATAAGTAACATTATATGGTAACTGATCTTTTTTTTTAAATTAAAGAATAGTTTAAAAAAATAAAAATGTGACTCCCCTAGACTCTTCAGACTCCCCTAGACTCTTCAGACTCCCCTAGGCTCTTCAGACTCCCCTAGACTCTTCACACACATGCACTCACACATTATGTATGTAGGTATAAATGTGTTTATATATAGATGTATTATCTTCTTGCTCATGTTTTTTAGCTTATGTCTTCTCCTTTGTCAGTTGCAACACAAGAATCAAATCATAATATTTCAAGTGAATCTGTTAAAGAACAGTGTATTATTTCGCCCCTCAACAATATCCAACAGCTATCAGATGGTTTTTCTGATGAGCAAACATGGATGTTTACCAAACGCAAAGACGACATTCAAGATCGTTGGGAAGTCTCTTCTCCACAAAGCAGTGTGAGTAGCAGCAAAATGGAACTGACCAGTATATTAGATAATGAGAACAGTTCAGCTCGATCTCTTGATTTTGTAACAGCGTCTGTTAGCATTGGAAAGGTTTTTGATAATACACCATGGCTACAATCACGTGGCGCTTACAGTGCTCCTTCGTCTCCATCTCTCTTGCATACCTCTTGTGACGGAAACTTGCGTAACTGTATTCCTAAACAAGCAACTCGTTTTCATACCTCTGTGGAAGAATTAAATCGACCTTGGTTGGATAAAGTCAATCCAGAATGCAATACTTGGAATACAGATTTATCAAATCCAATGCATTGTTCAAACTCGATCCAACAGAGTATGGATAATACTATCTTAAATGACAAAATTTTAACTCTTGAAAACACTCAACCAAACGAAGATCAGAGTTCTTCTCTTATAACTGCGCCGTGGTCTGCAGAACGTCTTCAAAATATACATTCTTTAAACGAGTTGTTAGTTCACCTTTCTCTAGAAAAATATACGACGAAATTTGAGGTATGCAATTTTTCTATTTTAAATTTTAAATTTGGAATAAAATTTTAGAAATATTTATAATTTTATTTCAATTTTTTAATTTGAAATTCAAATTTTTACTTAAGTCTCATGGCATCACATTTGAAACGCTTTTAACGCTATCTGAAAAAGAATTGGCAAATTTATCGGTACCGAAAGTGAGTTTTTAAAACATTTGAATTTTATTTCAAGTTTTCAATTATTCTTTTCAACTATTCTTCTTCAACATAGTTTAATTGTTTTTTATTTAGGGTCCAAGGTTGAAAATTCTAAAAGCTCGAAATGTGATACAAGGTTAGTTTTTAAATTTTGTTTTTTTGATTATTTGTTATTTATTTTAAACCAAATTAAATTCTGTGGGTAAAGTAAGAAAGTTAAACATTAGTGTTGCATGAACATTTACATATATAACGTTTAACTATATTAAATTGAAACTCTTTTTTTTTTGTTCTTTTTTCTTTAAATCTTTTTTTTTTTTTTTTTTTTAAAAAAAACAAGAAAAAATCTCTTATCTTTATCGGTTCAGACCTAACATGAACGGTTGTCATAAAAACACTATTATTTCTTCTTATATTTGTTGTCAAATTTCATAATTAGTTTTTATTTCATAATTTAATTATACATTTATACATTCTTAAATCATATTTATTTTTTTAATAGATCAAAGGCGCTTGGCAAGTGGTGTTTCTCCGATGATTACACCAAGTATAGCTTCGTTTCAGTCTTCTTATACCCCGAACACAATCGTGAAATCCCAATATAGCCAACAGCTTCCCGATAAAAGTGATATGAAACCGTATCAACCAATTTATACGAATGGCAATTTTCAATATCCTGAGTTCTTACCTTACGGTCCAACCTTTCCGCCACAAATCCCACCAGGGTATAATACAATGCTACCTTCAAATCAGCATTTTATGCACCCTACTCACACCCAAAATCTGCCGGTTTATACAGCTACAGGCGAAGAATTTTCACAACAAATAAGTTTAGAACACTCGCCACACCACAATATGCAATTCATTTCACAAGGTTATATGTATCCCAACCATGCTTTTTATTTTTATTCGCCGCAAACGTAACGCGCTCAAAACCTTCAATTTTTGAAGCTACGATGTGTGCAATGTATTTTTGATTTTCGTTCTAAAGAAATAATTTAAAACAAAGATTCTTATTCTCTATAATTGTACTTATTTTTCAGATTTTTTTTTTAACTGTTTTCTATAAACTCTCTAGGCGAAAGCCTGACAAAAATTTATCTTGAATATTTTTTAATCTTGATTATTTTTTTATGAATAATCTTACCAAACTCTATAAGTTTCCCAGTTAATCTGGTCTTATGAACCTGAGTTAATCTGAAAGGATTAAAAATGTAGATTTAGGGAACAGACAACAAGTCAAGTAACATAACAAGTGCACTTAAAAGTGTTTTTAAAATCATTTTTGTAATTTTTTTTGTTTCCAAGCCAAAAAAATTTGCATCATGCGATAAGTTAAAATTTTTAAAGTTTCATGCTTTGCATTCCTTAATATATATAAAAAGTTTTTTTTTAAGGTGGTAGTATACCATTTGAAAAAATCTTGAATTTTAACTTTTTTTTCAATTTTTAATAGTGCATAACATATAGGGTCGTTTCCACACCTAGGGTGAGTCGACACTTATCGTAGGTTTTAAATACTAACATAAATTTTGCAATAAGTAGTAATTATTTTTTATATATATTTTTTGTTTATAAACAACTTCGTCATGCACTTCTATTACAATACATAGAAACTGCAATACATAGTTACTTATATAAACTCAGTGGGTTTATTACGTCAGCCTATGAAAATACTTTTTTTAAGTACCAGCTGTTAGAAGCGATTCAAATAAAACAAGATAATTTAAGAAGATAAGATAAAATTTTATTTCTAAATTGATTTAATAAGGTGAATAAAACATGGATCATTATTAATATTATTAAAACCACTCATCGTTATAGCATCAATGTAGTATTTTTGAACGTACGATAAGTATGAACAAAAAAAATGTCATTTCATACATATCGTATGTCCAATAAATAATCAACTTGGTTTTTTTTTAGATTAAAAAAAAAATATTTTACTTAGATTCTTTTACAATGGCAAGACAAAAACATAAGACAAAAGTTTGTAGCTCAAAACGAATACTTCAATATACAATATAGCCAATTAAGAGATGCTATTGACGCTGTTAAAAAAGGTATGGTTCTGTACAAAGCAAGCAAGACGTTTGGAATTCCTTATCAGACGCTTTGTGATAAAATATCTGGAAAAACTTCTCTGAAGATACAACACTGCGGTTATGAATCAGTACTAGGTGAACACATTATGCATTTCTTCGCCGTCACAAATAGATATCTCAAAAACGAGGTGAATACTTAAACCGAGCTAGAGGAGGAATAACTTAAAAAGCCATAAAAGATTGGTTTATTGAAGTTCCAAAGCTTTTAGGAGAAAACGCTTAATATTTAAATGATTCGATGCGCGTTTTTAAATATGGATGAGAGTGGTTTTCAGTTGTCACCAAAAACTAATTTATTAATTGGTGAACGAGGAAAAAATACATATGAAGAAAGTGCTCGATAAATAAAAAAAGCATCACTTTATTTGCAGTAAATGCCAGCGGAACCTTTGCTCCATCATTAAAAATTTCTTCCAAATAGAATTATAAATACTCCATCAGGATGGGTTATTGGAAAAAGTGAAAATGGTTGCATGACCGCAGAATGTTTTTTTAAGTATATTACAAACATTTTTCATCCAATTTTGATAAAAGAAGAAATTCCTTTACCAGTTATTATTTTTTTTTTATATCATGCGTCACATTTTTCTATCGAACTTAGTGAGTTTTGCTCAAAAAATGGAATAATTTTTGTTGCTTTGTTTCCAAATGCAACACATGTTTTGTAGCCGCTCAATGTGGCAGTTTTTGGGCCAATGAAAGCAAAGTGGAAATCTTTTTGCCGACAATGGCGCATTGACCATTAAAGACAAGAAATAAACAATGAAAATGTACTCTATGGCAAATAATGTTAAAAGTGCTTTTAAAAATACCGGAATATTTCCATTTGATGCTAATAGTGTGGACTACACAAAAATTGTTCAAAGATTATCTGAGTCAACTGTGGCTACGACTCCTTATTTAGAAGAGAATCAATCAAGTGTGACTTTATCCGCTTCCTCTCCCATAAACTTTTTTGAAACCTGCATTGATCCAAGTATTTTAGAGCAGTTTAAAATAGCTGACGAACATTTAGGTTGGAAAGGTGATCTTGAATTACTCCAGCTGTATCATTTTTGGAAAAAAGCCTCATCTGAAACATATAAGACCACAATTTTACCTGATGAAATACAACAGGGTAATAAAAATCTATCAACAACTTGTAATTTAGAAAATGTGCAAGTTAAAACCGGTATGGAAATGCCTGATTGCAATATTGCAGCGGTAATAGAACCAAAACCAGCTTGTTCTAGTTTAAAAATAGCAGCAGAAATCATAAATCCAATTAAAAGTGTTTTAATATGGCCAAAACAACCAGTCAAAACGTCCAAGCGCAAAATAGAACGTTTACCATCGGTTGTAACATTTAAAACGTGGCAGGAAAATTCAAAAGACAAAATTGCAAGAAAAGTCACAACTAAATGATGAAAAATTAAAAAAGAGACAATTAGCTGCAGATAAAAAGTCAAAAAAAGAGGAAGAAAGATTAAGAAAGAAACAAATGGCTATGGACAAAAATTTATTAAATGAAAAAACTAAAAAAGAAAGAGAAAACATGAAAATTTTGAAAAAGAAAAAGAAAGTCGCAAAAGAAAAAGTAAGCCTTGAAACTGAGTCAGAAAACGAGTTCCATTGTTAACAAAAATTATAATATAAGACTCAGATAATTATGATGAAATTCTATCCTTTCCAGTTTAAAAGATTTGTACTAAAGTAATGGAAATGATTTAAAAATCTTTAGTTTTAATTCAAAATAATATTTTCATTCTATATAATTAGTGTTTATTTAATAGTCTTTTTTTTTTAATTTATATACCTAAAAACGTTTAATAAAATGTTACTAATGCATTAGATTTTCATTTGAAACCGCGAGCGCATTATAAACCAGTCACTAAAGCAGATTTTAAGATATACGATAAGTGTCAACAATATATACAATAAGTGTGAAACTTTGTTAAACTCACGGTAAGTGTGGAAACGATCCTATTACATGATTAAAATATAAGTAAAAATTTAAAAAGTTAAAAAAATTAATTATGCGTATAATTATTGACAGACAAAAGCCTAAAAAATGAATAACTGGCGACAGGGTTTTTTCAGCCACCGTTAATAAATTTGAACTGAAATTTTGGCTTGTGATCCTTTACTTATGCAATAACAACATATACTAAAAGTTTTGGATTTTGACCAAAAAAAGTCAAAATATATGCATTTTAGTCATATTTGGAAGTTTTGGTGTTATTTTAGAACACAAAATCACTTTCAAAAGTAGAACACAATCAGCTGTAAACATAATTCTAGTAGAGGTTGCAAATACATGTGTTACAAACAAGTGTGCCAAATTTCAGATCAAATCAGTTATCGGTTTGAAAAATATCTCCGTCGCCAGAGAATAAAACATGATTTTGAGAAAAACTCAAATTAAAAATAAAAACAAAATTGTTCAAAACTCCCCACTTCCATAAACTGCACCTTCTAATGTTTTGTTTTGAACACAAAAACCTTTTTGTATAGTTCTTAGTTTCTTGCATCTTAATTT